AAATATAAATTTATATTTAAATTTTAAATTTAAAATATAAAATTTATAAAACATTAAATTACCTATTTCATATTGGCTAAGAGTTGGTAGTTTATGTTTTTTAAGATATCGATCCATTATCTATATCATTATATGTAAAAAGTATATATTATTGAATTTATGTGTAGAATGGTTGGTAATATCTCCTTCTCATCCTAAGGTTCATATTTTTTTTTTTTTTTGCTTGAGACAGGGTTTCAATGTTTATCTCTGACTGTCCTGGAACTTGCTTTGTAGACCAGGATGGCCTCAAACTCACAGAAATCTGCCTGCCTCTGCCTCCCAAGTGCTGGGATTAAGGGCATGCACCACCACCACCTGGCCCTAATATTCATAAAATTTAAAGATACAGCTTTAAAATGTTTTAAATGTATTGTGTGGTCTTGCCTGCTGTATGCATGTGCACCATGTCGAGGTCTGGTGTCCGTGGTGGACAGAGAAGGACATTGGATCCCCTGTAACTAGAGTTATAGGCCATTGTGAGCCACCATATGGTTGCTGGGAACCGAACCCAGTCCTCTGCAAGAACAGCAAGTGCTCGTCACCACTGAGCCCTCTCTCCAGATACATCTGGAGTAAATATCACAAGGAGGCAAGCCACGACTTTATTTCCACTCCCTGTGGAAGCCATGGATGTGAGGCACAAGACCACGGGACTGTAGAGGCGAGACTGTGAAAGACTGGGTCACACAGATGGATGACTGACTGTCTCAGTTAGGGTTTCTATTGCTGCAATGAAACACCATGACCAAAAAGCAAGTTGGAGAGGAAAGGGTTACTTTGGCTTATACTTCATATCGCTGTTTATCACTGAAGGAAGTCAGAATAAAAAGTCAAGCAGGGCACGGAGCCAAAAATATTCTCTATCCCACTGGTCCCCCTGAACTGGGTTTTCTCTATCTGCATGTTCCTGAAGCCGAGTGTTTGTAAAATGGAGTTGCCAGGGCAAGACCAGCCTGAAAGGCGCTGTTTGAAACAATACCGAGCCACTTAGAGAAGGCCTCAGCCTGATCGCCACATGGGGAAGAGGCAAGCATGGTCACTGGGAGCTCTATGAGGTCATGAATCCCAGCGTGAGGGCTCTGCCCTCAAGATCTCATCCCTTCCCAAAGGCCCCACCATCCCTGGGAGTGGGGGTTTTAATGTCTGCAATTTGGAGGGGCAGGAATATTTATACTACTACAGGAGGCCCAGGTACCTCACATGTCTAACTTCCCGTGGCTATGATGGTCTGGGGGGCTACACCAAGGAGAAAGGGGCCAGTTGGGTGTAGAAATGAATCCACATTCACAGGGAACTAAGATTTTCCAGCCAGCAGTGGTGGCGCAAGTCTCTAATCCCAGCATTAGGGAGGCAAAAGCAGGCAGATCTCTGTGAGTTCAAAGCCAGCCTGGTCTATAAATCAAGTTTCAGGACAGCCAGAGCTGTTACACAGAGAAACTCTGTCTCAAAACACAAAAACCAAACCAAACAAAACCAAACATTAGTGTCTGCAGGGGCCAAGAGACTCTGAGCAACGAGCTTGTCCAAGAGAACTGCTAGGCTAGACAGTCACAAATCCAAAACACACTCACTATTAAAGCAAAATACTTCTTAGGGACTGGGGAAGTAAGTTCAGTTGGTGGGATACTCACTTGGCATGCATGAGGCTCGAGGTTTCACAAGAAACACACACACTGTAGTAGTTCACATCTAATGCCAGCACTGGGGAAGAAGAGCCAGAAAGATTAGTTCAAGGTCGTCTGCAGCTACTTACCAAATTTGAGCCAGAGTGGGACACATGAAACCCTGTCTCCAAATTAAAATTGTTCTTTTTTTTTTAATATTTATATATTTATTTATTATGTATACAACATTTTTTTTTGTCTGTGTGTATGCCTGCAGGCCAGAAGAGGGCACCAGACCCCATCACAGATGGTTGTGAGCCACCATGTGGTTGCTGGGAATTGAACTCAGGACCTTTGGAAGAGCAATCAGTGCTCTTAACGTCTGAGCCATCTCTCCAGCCCTAAAATTGTTCTTTACCGTGTGAAATACTATTAAAAAGTCCCCTTTTTAATGAGTGAGATGGCTCAGTAGATAACGGTGCTTGCTTCCAAACTGAGAACCTGAGTTCAATTCCTCGGACTCATGTGGTTGAAGAGAACGGACTTCCACAAGTTGTCATCTCACCTACACACACACACACACACACTCACACACTCACACAAACACCACACACACTCGCATACACACACATACACAGACAATCACATACACACATGCACACACTCACATACACACATACACACACGCACACATATGCATACATATATACACACATACATACCACACATACACATACGCACGCATGCACACTCACCTACCCACACACAAACACACACACATACATACACACACACACACACACTAAACATAACAACAACTTTTAAAATCCCCTCTGTTGGCTGTGCGTCATCTCCCAGAGGAGCTTCAAAGTCATCCCTTCCCCTCCAGAGCCTCATGTCATAACAAACTTCCGAGAGGTGGTGATGAATCCTCGCACAGGAGATGGATTTATGTGCCCGTCTTTGATCAAAAGTTAATGGACTGAGTTTCACCGAAGGTCCCTTCTCTCTCTCCACTTAGGACTGGCAGGGCTTTCATCATGATCTTATCAGCTTGGAATGAAGATGGAAACCACGTGGTGCTCAGTGAGAAGGAGGTCACCGGCCTGTTCTGTGATGCTTCAAGGTCACTCGCTCTGCACAACAGTCCACGATCACCAGACACCAGAGCCATCAGGTGGATGGAGGGAATCACTCTTTACATTTGTATCCCAACTGAGAATCTGCTGATCTCTAATATGTTCCACCAAAAAGAACACATTCTCAGCGTAAATTTTCGTGGAGTGTAAGATGAGGAGATATGTGGTACCCAGGCATCAGATGATGGCATGAGGGTCATTGCACACACAATATCTTAGTCAGTATTTGGTCACTGCCCTCCCAGTGGTCTCCACCTCCCACAAGAGAATCATGAGCAACTTATGAGATTTACAGAGCTGTCGGAATGTGGTGCTGGAAATTGAAGTTAACATTTATGAACTTCAGAGCTCAGGGACAGGAGAGCAGAGGAGACTGGGTGAGAAATAAGCCTACGTGTCTACCACACTCTTCTCCAGGAGTTGGCATAAATGGTTCCATAGCAGTCCCAGTGACGCAAGGTATGGGATCCTCGTTTCTCCAGTGACAAAGCTGAAGTCAGCCAGGATAAGTCACTTGCCAGGTCCCACTGGAAGGAGTCTTGAGCTCTAAGAAGCAAGGCCCTGTTCACAGCTTACGCTTAGGATATGCCACTTAGTAGGTTAAGTAACAAAAGTACTGGGAACACTGAAATTAAATTGTCATTAACATAGCAGTGTGTGTATCCTTCCTCTACAATGGGGCATTCATGGAGATAGTCTGAGAAGGTAGGGTGACTTGGTCTACATAGTGGACTCCAGGGGGAGTGGGCACGGAAGCATTTGAATGCCCATTGTGTTATTGCAGCGCTCGCACACACACACACTGCAAAAAGGCACTGGGTGCTGGCCTAACTTACTCTATCTTGTTCCTCACTGGCTAAAGCTTGTGGTGGTACCCTGAAGATGTACTTTGGGATCATTTGAATCCCTTTCTATCTGTTCTTTCTTATTTGAACCACATTCATTAACTCTCCCTTCTGCTTTCTGTCAGTACTCATGTTTAGAGGTATGGGGGGGTTGTTTGTTTTGGTGTGTGTATGTGTGTGTGAGTGAGTGAGTGACAAAGAGAGAGAGAGAGACAGAGAGAGAGGGAGTGAGAGTACACAGGCACACAGGCGTCTGAGGAGGCCAGAAGAGGGTATCTGTCCTGGATGCCCCAAGCAGGAGGCCCTGGGAACAGAATCCAGGAGAAGCCTTATATGCTCTCCACAGCTGAACCATCTCTCCAGCCCCAGGCACTAATTTCTTTAATTGATATCTTGGGACCAGTGACAGGACATAGCTTCTTGGGGTTGTTGGAGCCGGGCTTTGCCCTAAAACGCTGGCTACAGATATAACCATGTAAAGGAGGAAGGTGGGCTGCATTTAGGTTGAAGTTTACATACTTTCCCTTTATCTTTAGTACGTTTTGTATATCCATGTAACTTCGAGTAGTATACCTTTTTAACTTTAAAATTACATGTATTTATGTGTGTGCACACCTATCCTTGCAGCCCGGCACATGTGTGGAGGTCAGAGGACAACTTGCCTGGGAGTCAGTTCTCTCCTGCGACCGTGTGGACCCTGGGTATGGAGCCAGAGTTATCAAGTTTGGTGGCAAGTACCTTTACCTTTGAAGACATCTTGCTAGCCCCTCAAGGGGAATATTTTTAAATTTCAGTTGCTTTCGGATCATAAAAGGATCTCCCATTTTTCTACAGGGACTTTGCTTCATTCCCTTAGTTATATGGCCAAAACGATGTTGTGTGTTTATCCATTTTCCTATGGCCATCGCCCTGGCCCAGAGTCTGCTGGAAGAGGCGAGGGGAACCATGACCTGCAGAGGTGGGCATCCGATAACGGGTGTAGCTTCGCAGGGCTTCTCATTGCCCTATCCATCCACCCATCACACCATCCTTCTACTCCTTCTTCCCCCTCTCCCTCCGCGGAGGCACCGCAGCCTCCAGGCCTACCTTCTCACCACCTCCACACAAAGCTAACAATCCTAGGCCCCGCCCCCATACGCCCGTTTATGTCATCTCCCAGCGCCGGAAGTGTGTCCGGCGGCGGGCGGGAGGCTCGCGAATCGCCATATAGGTCCGCTTGCCGGCATGAGCGATGAGCTGGCTGCTGCCGCTGTCCCACACCGTGACACTGACCGTCGTGCACGTGAGGCGAGGCATTTGCGGGCTCGGGATGTACTATGCGGTGAGGAGAGGCCGCAAGACCGGCGTCTTCCTGAGCTGGTGAGACGGAGCCGGGCGGAGCCCTTTCTTCATTCTAAACAGCAAACGGCTTGTCGAGCCCTCCCGTGTTGCAGGCAAAGACTTAAAGAGAACGCATAATCATTGCAGACCAGAATTTACACAAGGGTTCCCGAGTGCTGATCGTTCCTGTGGGTGTTTTGTTTGTGAGACAGGACCCCCTGTACCAACTTGAACTTACGGCCTTTCTGCCTTCACTCCCTTTATTCAGGGGTTGCAGATAGACGAGCAGCTAGCTGAGCTGATCTGCATCCTCAGCTCCTCCTCTTTTTAAACAGGGCAATCGGGTGGTGCCAATTGTTTGTAATCTCCGTACTGGTGAGTCTGAGGCAGGAGCATCAAATTAGAGGTCAGCATGGTCTATGGAAGGAAACCTCACAGAGAGGAGAGGAGGAAGGAGCCGAGAGATGGGAGAGTCTCAAGCTGGAAGCTAGTCTTTGCCTTTGGATCCTTGTAGCAGCCCTTGAAGGCAGATGATGTCTTCAGTATTATGGTAGGGTATGTGGCAGAATCAGGGCTTGAACCCAGGTTTGGGCCTATATGACAGTAAACTTCTGATGTCAAGGTTTGTTGTCCCTGCCTGTACACCTGTGTATTTCCCTGGGCTCAGCGGCGACAGTACTGAGGAAGAAATGTCTCCAAAGAGAACCCTTTTTCTGTGATAGGAATTTTTGTTTGTTTGTTCTGGTTTGGTTTTTGGTTTTTTGAGACATGGTTTCTTTTTGTAGCCTTGGTTGTCCTGGAACTAACTCTGTAGACCAGGCTGGCCTTGAACTCACGTAGATCTGTCTGCCTCAGCCCCCGGAGCTCTGAGATTAAGGGGGAGTGCCACCACTGCCCTACTTGATTGATTCTTAAAGATTAACAAAATTTTAGTACACAGTGAAGTTGTGGAAGACCCTATGGTATTAGTGTACCTCCTGGATGGCATTTAGAATGGGCTGGCCAGTCTTAACACTGAAAAGGGAGCTAAATTGTGAGGTATATTATGCAGACCGAAAAAGAGTTATTAAAAATGAAACAGTGTGGAGGAACACTAACTATATTATGCTAAGAGAAAAGACAGGTTGAAATGGTCCACAGTGTGTGTTTCCAACTACATGGCATTCCGGAACAAATGCAGAGATTGCTGCACAAGTCAGTGTTTTTAGGGTTAGAATTGAGGGAGGGATGAATGTTTGGAGACAGACTGGCCTTGAACTGACTATAAATCCTAGATGAAGCCGGGCGACGGTGGCGCAGGCCTTTAATCCCAGCACTCAGGAGGCAGAGGCAGGCGGATCTCTGTGAGTTCAAGACCAGCCTGGTCTACAGAGCTAGTTCCAGGACAGGCTCCAAAGCCACAGAGAAACCCTGTCTCGTCTCCAAAAACCAAAAAAAAAAAAAAAAAAAAAAAAAAAAATCCAAGATGACCCTGAACATCTGATCTTTTGTCTCCACTTCCCAAATGCTGGCATGATGGGCGTGTACTCCCAAACCAAGGTGGTTTTGGTTGCGATTTTTGAGACAGGGTTTCTAAACTGCACTGGCTGGCCTAGACCTGTATATAGATTAGGGTGGTGTTGAATTTGGTGATCCTCCTGCCTCACCTCTAGAGTGTGGGATTATAGGCATGCATCTCCCCCACCACCACCACTTCCAGGCTCCAGGCGAGGATTTCTCAGGCATGAGGTTGGTTGTTCGGAATGGTGTGGTAACGTGGACCCATGTCACCGTCATTGTGCATCCACTAAGCCTGTAGACTTCACAGCATTGTCAGTGAGCCCCAGTGGAAGCAATGGGCTAGGAACTTCTGGAGGCAGAGGCATACAGAACTCTTGACTTTCTGTTCCTGTTTTTTTTTTTTTTCTCTCTCTCTCTCTTCCTGTTTTATGTGGCCGTAAAACTTCTGTAAAACTTGACGCTGGCCAGGTGGCGTTGGTGCATGCCTTTAATCCCAGCACTGGGGAGGCAGAGGCAGGTGGATTTCAGTGAGTTCGAAGCCAGCCTGGTCTTACAGAGTGAGTTCCAGGACAGGTTTTGTTTTCTTTTTCTTTTGGTTTTTCGAGATAGGTTTTCTCTGTGGCTTTGGAGCCCGGCTCCAGGACAGGTTTCAAAGCTACAGAGAAACCTTGTCTTAAAAAACCAAAAATAAATAAATAAATAAATAAATAAAATTAAGTTAAAAAAAAAAAAACAAATGGAGATGTAAATTGAAGAGGGATTGGGCTGATGTATGCACTCTTCCAGGACTGAGTGCAAAGCGCAGGTGGACCGGTTTCCTGCCGCCAGGTTTAAGAAGTTTGCCACAGAAGATGAAGCTTGGGCCTTTGTCAGGAACTCTTCAAGCCCAGAGGGCTCAAAGGGTATGTAACATTAGTATGGTATTTTAACCTATGAACAGCCCCTTGATTCCCCAACATCACTGCGTCAGCTTCCGTAGAGGAGATAAAAATGATTATCTATCTGTCTTTCCCTGTATAGATTAGAGTTAAGAATAGTGGTTCAAGCCAGGTAATGATGGTGCATGGCTTTAATCTGGGCACTCGGGAGGCAGAGGCAGGCAGATTTCCTAGTTCGAGACCAGCCTGGTTCCAAGACAGCCAGGGCTACACAGAAATTCTGTCTCCAAAAAAAAAAAAAAAAAAAAAAAAAATGGCATTCAGAGACTAGAGAGCTGACTCAGAGGACCAGAGTTTGATTCTTAGTGCCCATGTGGGGTGACTCACAACCTCCCGTAGCTCAGGAGGGATGGATGCTCGAACACATACACAATTAAAAGTAAATCTTTTACAAGGAATAGTGTGGTTCAGCCAGGTGTGTAAAGGGACATCAGATTTAGAGCATAGGCATGACTCAGGTGAGCAAGCTGACTCTAATTGAGAACATGCGACCAAAAAAAAAAAAAAAAAAAAAAAAAACTACGTCTGAAGCCCTTGGGAAGTTTCAAGACCTTTTTATTTATTCATCCCTTTATTGCTATTTATTTTCAGAGGGAGCCTTGGACTCTTTGGAGCTCCTACAAGGCCAGAGTCTGGGATGGTTCGTTCTCAGTCGTTCCTTCTCAGCAGGGCTACATCCAGAGTGCCCTAGTCTGGTTCATGTACTCTCTGGTTTTGGGTCATGGTCAGAATCTCTTTCAGGGCAGGAAACCGCAAATGTGCAGGACTCAAAGGTGAAGACCAGCAAGCGGCCTCGGGAGCCTCTGAATAAAGGGGAAGAACTGCCCGAGCCAGGGACAAAGCACACCAAACGGAACACAGAACACATGGAACCTGATCCCCCAGTGAGCAAGGACATGTTTTCTTATATGGGTATGCCTTTCTCGGGTTCAATTTTTTTGTTTTTGTTTTCCGAGAGGGTTTCTCTGTGTAGCTTTGGAGCCTTCCTGGAACTAGCTCTTGTAGACCAGGCTGGCCTCAAACTCACAGAGATCCACCTGCCTCTGCCTCCCTAGCGCTGGGGTTAAAGGCGTGCGCCACCACTGCCTGGTGGGTTCAAAATTTTTAATACAGTTACAAAAAAAAGAACAGTCAGCATGAAATCTTTTTCTTTCTAAGTGAGAGGAATGTAAGCTCTTTGTTTTATTGTTGGTGGTGGTTTTATTGAGACAGGGTCTCAGTGTTTAGCCCTTGAAGTCTCGAACTTAGAGATCTTCCGGCCCACAGCCCCCCAGTGCTGGAGTTAAGGATATAGGCAGCCAGTGTAAAATTTAAGCTGATTTTTGTCCTATTTTTTTTCTTCTGTAAATATTCTCTAGAAATTCCTGAGGTCTTTTATTTTGGAGAGTGGACATTAACAAAAAGTCCCTTTGGTTTCTTCCTCGACAGGCCAGGGCTCCTATCAGTGCGGTCCTACCTTTTTACCTTTTATTTTGCAGTGTGGTCCCACTGAGTTACCCAAGGTGGCATTGAACTCCTCCCTTTGAAGCCCAGGCTAGCTTTCAACTTGCTATCCTCTTTCTTTAGCCTCCCAGCCATCTGGGTCCTTTGCAGCCAGTCCTAGCAATGAGGCCATTATTTATAGGTAATCAAATAGTGCAAAAATCATTAATCTTTTGAGAATTCTTGGGGAACCCTCACATAGCCACAGGCTGCTGAGGCAGAGGAAGGAGGAGGGCCCAGCCAGAGCTGCCTGCTAGAGCTGAGCAGTGCCAGCCTGAAGCCCTATGTCCAACCCTCAGACCTCACTGGGTCCCGTGGAAAAGAGACCGTGTTTAGCTCCAAGGGCAGCTGTGTGCTCTTAGAAACTACAGTATGTAAGTTTCCTTTTGTCTTGCATGCCTGGGAACAGAGAGGCAGCATTTAAAGATGAATCAGCATGTGGTGTGTCCTGAGTTTTTGCCAAGAGGAAAAGCCATCTGTGCTTCCCCTGCAGGGACGGCGCCAGGGGTCACTGGAGCTGGGAGAGTAGACACAGTGAGAGTAGACGGGTTTGGCGGTTTCCTGAGATGAGCAGGTCCTTTCACTGCATATTGTGCTGCACAGGTGTGTCATCTTGACGCAGACTAGAGTCGTCTGAGAGGACGGGACCTCAGTTGGAAATGCTTCCATAAGATCAGGCTACAGGCGTGTTTTTTTTTTTTTTTTTTTTTTTTTTTTTTTTTTTTTTTCTTAGATCAGTGATTGGTAGAGAAGGGCCCAGCCCACAGTAGGTGGTGCCATCCCATAAGAATGGTGGTCCTGGGTCCCATAAGAAAGCAGGTTGAGCAAGCTATGGGGGCAAGCCAGTAAGCAACACTCCTCCATGGCCTCTGCATCAGCTCCTGCTTTCAAGTTCCTGCCCTGCTTGAGTTCCTGTCCTGACTTCCTTCGGTGATGGATGTTGATTATGATGTTTCATCAGATTAATAGAAACCCCAACTCAGTCACTCATTGGCAGGAACCTAAGGAATGAGCCATTGTCACTTGGCAATGTCTTTAGTGGCTTCAAGAAAGGTTTAGTTGTGTGGGTAGAAACCAAGTTCCAGCCTCTGCTCTTTGAGGGCCACTGGTCCCCATCTTCCCCTGAGCTTGCTGAGCTCGGGCCGCTGTCCTCTGGACAGTGCCTCCTGTGCAGGTGGTCTCTGATGTCCCCCCTCCCACTCAGTTTCTCCTGTACTCCTGTGAGGGTGTTGCTGACCACACTCGGGCCTGACAGTGGCCCTAGGTCTGTCCTTCCCACTTGAGCAAGTCATGTTTGAAGGAGGAAGCAGAGATGAGAACTACTTTACAGTTAGTAGCAAACATGCTAAGAGGAAATGTGACCCCTTGCCAGCAAACTTGGCTTTCTAGCTTATGAGGCCAGCATCCCACCAAGCATTTCTTTCTCTGGAAGGACAGCTTGAGAGTGAAAGTGACTGAGCCACGAGGGACCCCTTTAGTTTGAGGTATAAGCAGGTCTCACAATGGGAAGTTCTGTCTTTAACTCACCTGGCATGTGGGACAAGCAAAAAGTGGCCACATCCCACGGGGGGAATCTATGTCATCCTGGACAGAAAAATAAAGCGGTGGTCAATGTTGAGCAGGTTGGTGCAGAATCCCCCCTCTTCCCTCTCACAGGAGAGTCTGTTGTAGTCTACACGGATGGCTGCTGTTCCAGTAACGGGCGGAATCGAGCAAGAGCAGGAATTGGCGTTTACTGGGGGCCAGGCCACCCCTTGTAAGTAAACACAGTTGAGTGTGAACACCACGTTTTTACTAAGTCTTGTCAGGTTTGCTTATTGGTACATTCTTGGTGAAACCTGCCCCATAAAGAGCATTGGTGGGGATAGAAGAAGAGCAACTTTGATTTATATCAGCTTGGTTTTTTAATTTTTCGAGACAAGGTTTTTCTGTAGCTTTGGAGCCTGTCCTGGAACTCACTCTGTCAACCAGGCTGGTCTCGAACTCACAGAGATCCATCTGCCTCTGCCTCCCGAGTGCTAGGACTAAAAGCATGTGCCACCACCGCCCAGCCCTTGGACCAGGGTCTCATGGGTGCTTGGCTCTGAGCTGTTTTTCGAGGCTGTTGCTCGTGTGTAGGTTTTCTGTTTCAGTTGAAAGTGAATACTAGTTTGTTATTATCCATTGAGAAGAATCGCTCTAGGAGTTAGCACTGTAATTTTGTGTTTTCTTTTCTGTGCTGTTTTGAAACAGAAATGTAGGTGTCAGACTTCCTGGGCGACAGACAAACCAGAGAGCCGAGATCCATGTAAGTGCTAGATAATTGTGGGTCTGCCTGTCCTCCATGTGACACAAGATCCGTCTTGTTCCCCTTCTTCGTTGTCCAGATAGAAGGTATTGAAAGTCCACAAGAAATGCTTAGGCCAAAAGCAGTCTTCAAAGTCTCTAGAAGAGCTCTAGGATCATTTCACGTGGTTGCATGGGGGCATTGGAAGTGTAGCCTCTTCACATAGAGACGACAGCCTGGTGGCACAGAGCAGTGCTTCGGGCTCAGAGTCCCCAGGGGGTAATGCAGAGAGTCGTGCATTTTCCACATAGCATGACCATGGACTTGTTTTTTCAAGGCAGCCTGCAAAGCCATCATGCAAGCCAGGGCTCAGAACATCAGCAAGCTGGTTCTTTACACAGACAGCATGTTCACCATCAATGGTAAGCCTTCCCGGGTACTGAGAAGGAAAACAGGCCTTTCTTCCTAGAAAGAGGTAGTGTCACAGTCCCGGGTGATGCTGGGCTTTTCAGGTTCAGAGGAATAGGAATCTGGGTCTGCTGTCTTGGGGAGCATAACATAACACCTGAGGTCAGGAAGTTAGTAACTACGGGTCACAGCATGCTTGTTCTGGGGCTGGGGTGGCTGAGCAGAAGCGCATGGAGCCCCTTGTTCCTCCGATTAGATCAGGGAGAGGAAAGACGGGGCTTTGGGATGCTTGAAGGAACAAGGGAGAGCACCTAAGGAAGGGAACCATCCAGGCTCTGACTTGGAATGAGAGGAGCCACTGTGAGGAGAGACGAGGGGCCAGGAGAGGCCAGGCCTTCCTGATGGATGAGTGTGAGCGTGTGTTCCCTAGGGATAACCAGCTGGGTCCAGGGCTGGAAGAAGAACGGCTGGAGGACAAGCACGGGGAAGGACGTGATCAACAAGGAGGACTTCATGGAGCTGGACGAGCTCAGCCAGGGCATGGACATCAAGTGGGTGAGTCCACTGCGCATCACATGGCCTGAATTAGCTGAGAAGTGGGGTTGGGAAAGGGTTTGTGGCCAGGTTAAAGCAGCAGCTTCCACCAAGTCAATGTGTTAGCTGTGTTAGACACAGAATGGGTTTCACTGTGATGGCATCGAATGTGTACGTCGTGTTTGGGGCGTACCCACCCCCACTTCTCCTTCTCTCCTCCTCTCATGGCTTTCTGTGTTTCCTGTGATGCAGTATGTTTAATCGGCTGTTCACAGGGGTGCAGAAGCATGGGCACCTTAGTAGTATCTACAGCCCTGAAGGAAGTCTATCCTCCCTCATAAAGCATTAATCACCCAGAGAGTGTGGGGGGGACCTTATGCACCCCTCCTGCATCGGGACAGTATTGTCAGGTCCAGTTCTGGGCAGACCCTGTGCTGCTAACCACAGCTCTGATGAGTTCATGAGGGCGGTAGCCATGTCTCAATTCCACTCCTTTCCTTGGCTGTCATATTCTTCCCTCGTCTCCCATGATGTACCTGAGCCCTGGAGCAGGTGACATTGATGTCCCTCTTATGGCTGAGCACTCCACAGTCACTTAGGCCAGTTATGGACCTGCAATAATTGCCACCCACTGCAGGAAAAAGAAACGGCAGCACTAATCTACGAGCAAACCACAGGCATTTAGCGAGACAGTAGTAGCTCTCCCACGGGGCCTGTGACTGCCCAGCACATGACTTTCACAGGTTTGCAGCACCAGGTGTGAGTTCCTCCTGTGGGGTGGGCTGGAACTCCATTCAGAAGGCAGATGGTCACCTCAAAACAGTTTTGTCACTATTACTCTAGTGGGTACTTCTTACCTGTCGGGTTGGTGTTATGGCATGTTTCTTCCCCAGCAACCTACACAGTGCCTTCCCAAGCTAGGAAAGCTAGCCAGCAGGGAGGCAGCTTCCAGATCAGTTTCAGATTGATTTCTTTGTGTCCTGCGGCCAAGGAATGTGTTGTCTTCATCTAGTTTTGGTGCCCCCTCCCAAGAACAGTGCAACAGCCTGTACTGTTTTGGGGACCCCAGTGAACTTCTTAACGAAATAGTCTATATATTTTGTCATCTTGAGTATTGTGGTTGGGTGAGGCAGGCAGTTGTAGCCCAGGTTAGTCTCTAATGAGCTGTGTAGCCAGGGTGGTCTCGATTGAGTCAATGATCCTGCCAATGTTGTTGCAGGCTCGTGCCACCTCCCCCAGTTTATGTGGCACTGAGGACTGCACCCCGGACGAATACTCTACTAGCTGAGCCATGGCTCCAGTCCTAGTGTTTTTTACCCACTTCCGAGGAGAAGAGGCGGGGCTGTGAACACGAGCTTTGCGGCACATGTAAACATCAGGAAAGATTAAAGGAGATTTTTATTTTAACAGATGCACATTCCTGGTCACTCGGGATTTGTGGGCAACGAAGAAGCCGATAGGCTGGCAAGGGAAGGCGCGAAGCAGTCTGAAAACTGAGCAAAGTGGTTGCTACACACTTGGACCCGAGGCAGTGACTTGCCCTGATGTGCTTTGAGGCCACAGCTGGAAGAGTCAACCATGACCTGTGACACAACTTGATGAGAAGTGCTTGAATGACAGAAAGGGGAGGTTGAACTCACATTTCTGGGAAGTTTCAGCCTTTGTGCCTTGTGGGTCTGTTATTCTTATTTGATTTGTTGCAATCTGGCCCAAAATACTCCAGCTTGATTTCAGTAGGGATTGGTGAGACACTGGTCAGTAGGTGTGGTCTAAAGGTTCCAGAATGTTTATTTTCCTTCCGGTGTGCACAGGTACAAGCCCCCTGCCCTTGCAGGTGCCCTGTGCTTCTGTGTGCATTAGTGATGACATGGCCATGCGGGAGCCAAGGCTGGTCTGAGGCCAGGCAGAGCCTGCGTCCAGGTGACCTTGGCTCCTGGACCACCTTGAAGGACAGCTGAGAACTTTAAAAATCAGGATGCATAAATATATTGCTATTAGATTTCTTTGGCTGTTTTTCCTAAAAATACTATATAAATTTAAAACATGTTTAAAGTTATCCTTATTTATTTTTATAATAAAAATATACAGGAATTACACAAAATTATGCAGTTTGTAAAGTTACTGTTAAAGGTACTATCTAAAACTAGAAATTGAGAAAATCAGTCTAGAGAAACAGGGTGGTCAGATTGTTCTTAGGCAGACCCTCATGGCCCTTAAGAAATGGGACGCTGTGCAGCCTTACTCTAGAGAAGACAGGGATGACGGGGACACTGAGACAGTGCTCGCACCTGTGCCGACTCTGAGTTCCTTAGACTGGGACTCTGGGCCATCTGCCAGAGCCCAGGGCAAGTGGAGTCATCTCGTGAGGATATGATGTTTTTGATGTCACAGCAGGTCTCTGAAAGAACTCGAAGCAGAAGTGTATATCAGGGAGGACGGGGTGTTGGCCTGAGTGAGGCTGGGGTGACTGGTATCCATCTCTGCTGGCTTGGCGAGGGACCTGTGTAGTAAGGCCAGCTCACCGTCCTACATGGAGGTGGGGGAATGGGTCACTGCATGTTTCATAAGCTTGAGGACCTGACCTGAGTTCAGACCCCAGCACCATGTAACCAGAGGGGCATGATCAAAGCATACTTGGAGTCCCAGCACTGTGAGGGGTAAAGACTGCAGAGTTGCTGCTACAGCTTGCAGAACATCCAACCTGTCCAAAAATCTGAGCTCCATGTTCAATGGTAAGAGAATAGAGCAGAGACACCCAGTGTCCTGTGTCTTCAGATACACCTGCACACACATGCATTAGCACAAAGTCCTATATTAGAACCAGGTGTGGGGGCACACACCTGTAATTTCAGGGTTAGGGAGGCAGAGGCAGTAGGGAGGGTCAGAGTTCAAGTTTGGCTTAGACTATGTAGCAAGTTTGAGGCTAGCCTGGGCTACCTGAAACCATGTCACCAAATGAAACCTCTCAACCTGGTTATCTGCGTTTCTTTAGTGGGGACTGAATGTAGAGTCTAGCATGGTGGGCAGGCACTCTACTACTGAGCTGCATCATCTCCACTCGCACCGTGTGTGTAGGCTGCAGAGTGTGCCGCCTGTCTGTCTCATTCTCCACTTCTAAAATTTTTTTTTTAAATATTTATTTATTATGTATACAATATTCTGTCTGTGTGTATGTCTGCTGGCCAGAAGAGGGCACCAGACCTCATTCCAGATGGTTGTGAGCCACCATGTGGTTGCCGGGAATTGAACTCAGGACCTTTGGAAGAGCAGGCAATGCTCTTAACCACTGAGCCATCTCTCCAGCCCCCCACTTCTAAAAATTTTTATTAGCATATGTGTAATAGGTTTTAGTAAATTTTCATACACATGCATAATGTATTTTGACCATTTTAACCACCCATAACCCTATCTTGTCTGTACTCCCCAGTGATCCCTTTTCTGAACAAGCCCCTTTCCACTGATAACTTCTGAAAGTTGTTTTATAGAGCGCAAAGGCCTTGATACAGGCTTGATGTGAAGATTGGCTGGAGGACAGAAGCCCGCTCTCTGGATGTGTTTTACACAGTCTAGGGCCATGCTCAAACCCTGGGATAATACACCGCCAAGGATATCTATCACATGAGAAGTCTCACAACACTGTTGCAAATTGGACTGTACTCTCTAAGAGTGTGGGATTCATAGAATTGCTTTTGGAAATAGATCAAAGTCCAGTTGGTCAGTCTACATACCGTGTCCCATGGCATGGGTGCATACTACAACTGGAACGTGTGTCCTCAAGAAAAGCCTTCCTCTTTCACTTAGGTGTGTGTCTGTTAGTGCTGGTACTCTCCAAGGACAGAAGGGGATTGGATCCGCAGGAGCTGTACTTGTAAACCACCCATTGTGGGTGCTTGGAACTGACCTTGGATCTGTCTGTAAGAGCAGCAAGCACTCAGCCATCATCCTCTCCAGCCCCACATCATCTTGTTTTGTTAGAAACAGTCTCTCATTGGATCTAAAACTCATTGATTCAGATAGAGCCCCAGTAATCCACCTGTCCTGACCTCCCCAGTGGTAGGATTATGGGTACACGCAGCTGTGCCTAGGTTTTGTGTAGTGTATGTGTGTACGCACACATGTTCCTGTGTGTTTTGTCATCCTGTGTGCAGGTTTTTATGGAGGTGTGTGGTGGGTGTTTTCTTCTGTTGCTCTCCACCTTAATTATTTTGAGATAGGGCACTACTATATGGCAGCCCTGGCTGGCCTGGATCTCTGGATTTGTACACCAAGATGGCCTTAAACACAGAGATCACTTACCTCTTTGTGCTAGGGTTAAAGGTGTGCGCCTCCACACCCAGTCACTTTGTATTTGATGCTGGCTCACTGAACCTGGAGCTCACCAATTTAGCTAGAGTGTCTGCTTAGCAAGCCCTAGTAATCTGCCTGTCTCCTCCCCCGTGCCGGCATGATAGGCACACGCAGCCATGCCCAGCTTTTGCCCAGGTTCTAAGAATCTGATCTCAGGTTCTCGCATTTGTGTGGTAAACACTTTATTGACTGAGCCATTTCTTCAGCCTGTGTCTGACTTTCTGTGTGGGTCTAGGAATCCAAACTGGGATTCTCCTGCTTGTGTATGTATGCTCCACCACTGCAGTTTGAGAATGTGAGATCTCGGCTTTTCCTGCTGCCATGCCTGGTTCTGACTGCCATGCTTCCCCATTGTGATGGTGATGGAGTCATCCTTCTGGGACCCTAAACCCCAAATAAATCCTTCCATCATTGCCTTGGTCATGATGTTTTCTCTTGGCAATAGACAAGTACAGTATGTGTTGTTGGGGAGGCATGCCTGGTGCCAGAGGAGGCCAGAACCATGGTACAGGTAGTTGTGAGCTGCCTGATGTGGGTGCTCTGGTTCTCTGCAAGAGCAGCAAGTGTTCTTAACTGCTGAGTCATCTCTCCACAGCTGCATTGCATGGTGGCTTTTCAAAAGGGGGAGACCTGAGCTGGCATGCACCCCTGTAGGAATAAGCCCTCCCCTTGGGGGCGGGCTGCCCTCGGGCGAATGTTTACTGATAAATTGGGCGCCCCTTCCTGCTTCGGGTACTCCTCTGGAACCTTGGTTTCGTGAGTCTGGTTTTGTCATTAAACTTGTTCAAATACCTATTACTATTGGTCTTCATTAATCCAAACCGCCACACACCCCTCCTTAGATGCACCTGCCCCTTATCTACCAGGTGTGACCTATCCATATTGGACTTCCCAACCTCCTTAACTGTGAAATAAAATTTCTTTTTTTTTTTTCCCCAAAATGAAGTATTTAATCTACTCTAGGCCTGGTGGCACAAGCCCGAGGCAGGAGGATGTCAAATTCAAGATTAGCCTGAGTCACTTAGAGTCTTGTCTCAAACATTAAAAAGAGGGCTGGGCTGGGTGGTGGTGCACACGCCTTTAATCCCAGCACTTGGGAGGCAGAGGCAGGCAGATCTCTGTGAGTTCGAGGCCAGCCTGGTCTATAGGACCTAGTTCTGGGACAGGGACCAAAGCTACAGAGAAACCTTGTCTCAAAACACCAAAAATAAAATAAAACTAAAAAGAGGGCTGGGAATAGGGTTTGGTTGTAGAGTTCTTGCCTGGTGCGGGAGGTCCTGGTTCAATTCCTGGGACCATGATGAAAAGAAACCCTTAATTGGCAGCTGTCATAGCTGCACAAAATGAGCTGACAGGGGATTGCACTCAGGGTTTTATGTTTTATACAAGCTAGGAAAGTACACAGGCATTTGGATTTGGTTCTTAATGTAATTAATGGCAGGAGTATTGTTCAGAAAAGCAACCGCCTCTTGAAAGCTGGTGTTATAACTGCTTGTGGCACGCCTCTTTTTCCCCCTTCCCCTTCCCTGCTAATTGCCTTGCACTTCCCAGGCAGGCAGCCCCATCGCCTGCTGAGGACCCGCTCACTCCACTCCTTCCTGTACTCAGCTCTCCCCCCACCATCTGGCTAATTGCCAGTCTCCTGGCACTTCCCACTCAGGTGGGATGGCTGAGTGCCTTCGGGAGAGCACTGGGTGAGCTGGGTCTCTCAACCCTCACTGTTCAGGCTGCGTTTCTGTGATTATCTCTTGGCAACCCCAGCCTCAAAAACCACATCACGGAGTTAAATCTACATCCTCCAGCTTCTGCGTGCTGGACCAGCCATGGAAGTTCTTTGTTCTTTCTTCCCTCGGCAGAGCCCTGTTTCACCTAGTGATGAAGCTTTGCCTGCTGCTTACACATTCCTGTCCCGTGTCCTCTGGACACCTGGTCCCCAGGATGCTCTCCTTGTCACTGCCCTCCCTGTCTGTTTACCCTCTCCCTGGATGTGGCTTGAGTCCCAGTGTATGCAGGAGGTATCTCTGTGTGCTGAGTTATCAGGCCCAAAGGAAACTCCATTTCCCCAAATCCCAAAAGGCAGAAGGGCAGTCTACTCCTTTCTCTCTCTGCGCTGGACTCTTCCAGGTGTGGAGCTGGCACTTTCTTTGGGCCGCCAACCAGCTCACCAATAAAGACATGGAGACTTATTGAATGCTCAGCCTTGGTGTAGACTTGTCCCTGGTAGCTCTTTCAATTTAATTTAACCTGCTTCTATTTATCTACATTTTGCCTTGGGGCTTTTTACCTCTCTTTCATTCTGTAAGTCCTTCTTTCCTGATTCCTCTATGTCTGCCTCTTTTCTTTCTTCCTTGAGCCTAAATTCCTCCTCCTACTTACTTTCCCTGCCTGGAAGTCCCACCTATATCTCCTCCCTTGCTATTGGTCATTCAGCTTTTTATTAGAACAATTAGGTGCCTTAGGCAGGCTAGGTAAAACTGATTTACATAGTTAAATCAGTGCAACACATCTCTGCATAGTTAAAAGAGTATTCTGCATCACGGGTGCCTCATTCTGTTCTCTCTCACACACACACACACAAACACACACACACACATCTACAACATAGACCTTCTACATAACCATTCCAATCATGTCAGTTTATATGGTGTGAATTCACAGGGTGCTCAGGGCCTCTCCAGGCCTGACAAATGGTAAGCTACAGTCCTAGGAGCCCTTATCTTCAGCATGAGGCCACAGGTCCTTTCTACAATGTCATATTCATGTGAGGCAGATGGTCTGGGATGGCTTGATGTAAGTAACTTGACAGTTCAGGATGGAACAGGACCTGGAGGTGGGGAAGGTTACCCTGATTTCAAGCTCAGAAAACTTGCAGGGAGGCCTGTCAGATGGATCAGTAGGTAAAGTTGCTTGCATTCACGCCTGAGAATCCACGCTCCATCCCTGGAACCCACATGGTGGAAGGAAAGAACATATTCTTAAACTGTCCTCTGACCACATACATGCCATCACATAAGTGCCTCCATACATGTAGACACACACACACAGACACACACACACACAGAGAGAGAGAGAGAGAGAGAGAGACAGAGAGACAGAGAGAGAGAGACAGAGAGAGAGACAGAGAGAAACAGAGAAGCACACATTTAAGGTCCTTAAAAAACTGTACTGGGTTTGAGTTACACACGTCCCACTAGGGAATTGTACGGCTGGTTTTGTGTGTCAACTTGACATGAGCTAGAGTCATCAGAGAGGAGCCTCACCTGAGGAAATGTTGCCTTGAGAGCCAGCTGTGAGGCATTTCTCAATTAGTGATCAGTCCATGGTGGGTGGTGCCATCCCTGGACTGGTGGTCCTGGGTTCTACAAGAAAGCAGACTGAGCAAGCAATGGGGAGCAAGCCAGTAAGCAGCACCTCTCCATGGCCTCTGCATCAGCTCCTGCCTTCAGGTTCCTGCCCGCTTGAGTTCCTGTCCTGAATTTCTTCAGGGATAAACAGCAATGCTACACAACAGTGTAAGCCTAATAAACTTTTTTTTTTTTTTTTGGTTTTTCGAGACAGGGTTTCTCTGTAGCTTTGGTGCCTGTCCCGGAACTAGCTCTTATAGACCAGGCTGGCCTCGAACTCCCAGAGATCCTCCTGCCTCTGCCTCCCAAGTGCTGGGATTAAAGGCATGTGCCACCACCGCCCAGCCAAACCCTTTCTTTTTTAACTTGCCTTTTAGTCATGGTGTTTCGTCACAGTAATAGAAACCCTAATTAAGACAGGAATGAAAAATATTTTTCTTCATATGAATATTTTTTTCAGTGGCTACCAAGGTGTTGGAGTGTTGTATTGTTTACTTTTGTATGTTGTGAGTCAATTCTTTACCAAAGCTACGTAAGGAAGCATTTTATTTTGGCTCATGGTTTGAGATGGCAAGGAAGCCATGGTAGCGGCTGGCCATTGTCTCTGCAGTGAGTGAGAAGAATACTGTCACTAAGCTTGGCTTCTCACTTCAGGCTCTTAGCCCAGTCCAGACACACTCCTTCACAAACACAACCAGAGGTGTGTCCCAAATGCCATCCATGTTGTTTGACCCTTGCATGTCTGGTCAACAGCAGCTGGATAGCAGGTGGCTCAGGTCGGGAGGAAGAAGGCCTCAGATGCTCCAATGGAGTCACTCTTGGCTTTGCCCTCTGATGCGAGTCCTCAGGGGCAGTTTTAAACATACCATGTCTCTGCCGTAGGTTGAATCTACTCCCCTAGGATTTAGACACCTCCTGTCACATCTGTAGCCCCACGGGGCTGTCAGGATGCTGCTGATGAGGACTGTGGAGGCTGAGAGCTCTCTGGAGAAAACGCTGTGACAGGAAGGAAATGTCAGAGCAGGCACCCTTCATCAGCTGGAGGGCTCTTGTTTACATTCCATCCTCTGCAATCAGCATCTTGCTAGAACAGTGAGGAGCCTGTGTGCTTGCTGCTCCTGCTCGGTGCTTCCCATGCCTAAGGGCACACACCTGACAGGGTTTTATAACTGGCTGGCTTTTAGTTGCTGAGATGTATTACTTGACCCAAAGAGACACAGCTTGCAGTGGGCCAACCTAGCCCTCTTGAAGAGTAGCCCTGAATCTGGGGTGGCCTTCATGGAAGATGGACAGAGTACCTATACCCAAATCTCCGCAAACGGTGGAAGCAAGAAGGTGGCAAAATAAGACAAGTGTGTCATCTCTGAACTGCAGCAGAGAGCACCTAGAGTAGCCACTACTGTAGGAAGTCAGAGGTAGCCTAAAGGGTTTTTACAGACTGCCAGGGCTGGAGGAAGAGAAACGACACCACTCTGAGGTCACTGGGGTAGTGACAGAAGGCTGCCACAGTGACAGTGAGGCCAGGATGAGGATGCTCGCTTTGTTGAGAGAAATGTTCAATTTCCATCAGGTTGATGGGCCCTGTAGCAAGAAAGACAGGCTGGAGGGGGGAGAGTGCAGTTCCTGGGGCTTCTCTTTTTAATTTGTATTTTTATGTGTATGTATGTTTTGCTTGAATGTATGTTTGTGTACCATGTACATGCCTGGTGCTCTCAGAGGCCAGAAAGATGGTATCGGGCTCCCTGGGACTGGAGTTAGAATTTGTAAACCACCAGCAGCAAATGCTGTTAACCACTGAGCAATCTCTCTAATCCCACTGTGAGTCTTACAAGTCAGGGTGCCCACAGTGAGAAGCCCCACAGTGCAGAGGATTGATATTGGACTCTATAGAGGCTGAGACTGGGGGCAGAGATGGCTTTGCCACCTCAGACTCATAATAAGGGGTGTTAGCTCTTCCAGTGTGGAGACCTGCTGGTCATTGACACTGGCTGCCAGGTACCTGCAGGGTGAGACCCTGTCACCATGAGAGCTACTCTATGAAATTCGATCTGCATAATCCACCTTCTTTACCAGT